AAAAAAGCACACTGGGAATAGTGTAAAGCTCTGAAACCTCAAAGCCTGTCTCCAGTGACACACTTTCTCCAACAAGGCCACACATTCTGAGCATCCCCAAACAGCACCACCAATTAGGTCAAATGCCTGAGATGGTGGGAGACTTTTCATTCAAACCACTACAGCAGGTAGTGCTGATCAGAGATGCAGGCCCTGGGTGCTCATTCTCCACTAGATGCCCCTCACCCACCCGTGAACATACAGGTAGAACCAAATAGACTAACTGATTTAAAGGAGTTAAAAAAGAGCACACGGAGTTTGGAGAAAGAAAAGTGATAAAGGGAATAGGGGAGAAATTGGAAGGGACAGAATGAAGGTGGATTAAATCAAAACATATTATATGCACTTATGAAATTCTCAAACAAAAGTAGTACAGCACATGAATAGACTCAAGGAGAAAAATCACAAGTTCATCTAAATAAACATAGAATGGCTTCTGACAAAGTTCAATGTCACTTTACAATAAGGGGGTGGGGAGAGAAAAAGAAATAGAAGAAACATTCCCTAGAATAAAGATTATATCCAACAAAGCTGTGCTAACATTATGGTAAACAAGAAAAGGTGGAAAGCATTTCCTCTAAAGTCAGGGCTGGGGTAGGCTGTTTGATTCACTCCACTGTTATTCAGTACAGTGCTTGAAGTCTTAGCTGGGGGCGGGGGAGCAAGAGAAATCAAGGGGAAAGAAATAGGAATGGAAGGAGTTAAATTACCCCTGTGTGCAATTGTTGTAGGAATGCTTTCTCCAGAACAGAAAGGGAGGCTCATGAAACTCAGAAGACAAAAAGCAAAACAAACAAAAAAATGTCACAGCTGGAAAATTGGACATGTGAAAAAGACTCTCAAAAAACTCTGCTTGGCTTTAGGGACAGAGTTAATAAGTGCTGGGAGAGATTGGTCAGCTAAACTCCTGCGAGAGGGTTTCTTCAACCTGTACAGCTAACTGCAAGCTGAGCAGAGAGCACTAAGGAGGCACTTTTGGGAGTTGTCACCCATGTTGGGATTGGCTTTTTGGTGATGCAGTTGGATTTTTGAGTCACCCCTGCTCCTTTAGGCAATCCTCATCCATACTTCTGTTAGTAAACTCATTAATAACTCATGGTTCACCAAGTTTGACTTGTTGCAATCATTACTTTGGTCTGTCATTGGTTCTCTCTCTGGGATGAACAGACATGCATGTGTGTGTTGTAAGATCCTATATTTAAAAGATGTGACTCTACCAGAAAACTCTCAGATCTAGAAACCCTTTCAGCAAAGTGGCAAGATATAAAAATCAATATCAAAAGTCAGTCACTTTAGTATACATACACCAATAATGAACTGAACAAAATAGAAATCAGAAAAAGAGAATTCCAATCACAATGGCCCCATAACTGAACAAAATGAAACTAATCTAGGAATAATCCCAAAAAACTAGAAGGGCTCTTCAGTGAAAACTTCAAAACACTAGGAGAAAAAAAAAATGAAGAGATTATTATAAAATGGAAGACTCTCCCATGCTCACACAGTGGCAGGATCAGTACTGTGAAAAAGGCTATGTTAATGAAAGTTATTTACACAGTCAATGGAATCTCTATCAAAATTCGATTATCATTCTCTACACAAATAAATAATTCTAGGTTTCATAGGGCAGCACAAAACACTCTTGAGTAGCCAAAGCAATCCTGAGCAAAAAAGGAAATGGAGGTATCATATTGCTGAAGTTGTAAAGCCATGATAAGAAAGACAGCATGTAGCTAGCACAAAAACAGACAAACTAATGGACCCCAAAATAAATCCACACAGCTACAGCTACCTAATTTTTGACTAATGTGTAAAAGACATATACTGGAGAAAAGACAGCTTCTTCAACAAATGGTGCTGGGAAAATGATGTCCACATGTTGGATATATACAGAATGAAACTACATCCCTATCTCTCACCTGCTTAAAAAAAAAAAAAAAAAAAAAAACACCCTGCACAAAAAGGATCAAGACCTTACTGTAAGCCCTGAAGTTGTGAAATTGATCAAAGAGAAAGAGAAAAACCCTTCAAAATACAGAATTGGCAAGGAGTTTCTGAAAATGACTAAAACTGTTTGGAAAATAAAACCAGGATTTGACAAATGGGATTGCATGAAATTACAAACGTTGGCACAGTAAAGAAAATAATCTATAGAATGTAGAAAATCTTTGCTGACTATTCATCTTACAGGGTATTGATATGTAGAATATATAAAGAACTAAAAAAAAAGTATCAAACCCCATATAATTCTGATAAATGGAAAAAGAAAGGAGAGGGTATTTCTCTTTTTTTTTTTTT